ACATAACAATTAGCCTTATATATTCAAATTATCAAATATATCGAACGTTTAAAGATCTCCTAACAGAATCCACTGTTTTCAATCAATGTAAGTCAAATACCCTAGTAGAGACCGACCAAATTTCGGCTTCGGCGCCGAAAGTGGCCATTTTAGCACTTTCGGCCAAATTTCGGTTTCGGCCGAAACTGAAAGTTAACTTTCGGCTTAATTTCGGTTTCGGCCGAAAGAGAAAAGTTAACTTTCGTTTTGTTTTTTTGATTTTGGCCGAAATTGACTTAGACTTTCGGCCATCCGCACCGGGTGACACCATTTTAGGGGTGACACCCGATTGAAAAATTGCATACTTAGACTTAGAAAGCACACTGAGTACACACTGCTCGGTCTAACTGAGATTCCTAAAAATAACCGATCACACATAAATCTTTCACAAATGTAACCAATCCAAATGCGTGCTTTACTAAAAGTTCAAGGTTGGTGCGTCAGAAATGAGATGACCCTTTGTTTAGGTGAGAAAAACACAGTCATTATTCCAATCCGATTGAAGTGTTCGGTAAATTCCGTAAGTGATAAATGTATCTAAATTCTGAGAAATATGGTTTTTCCATTGATCCGAATTACGGCGTGGTCGGGCGATTCTAAGTATAAGAATCGGTGAAAAATAAAAAATAAAAATTTAAAAAGAATTTTCACCCATTTATACCAGGCCTGCTCAACTCAAAATACTTTATGAAAACCTTGTGCGGACCAAAAGAAATAGGACAAGACTTGTGATGGCCAAAAGAATATAGGACAGGGGGGAAAGCTATTAGAAAATAATAAGAATGAAGAATATTTCATTACTTGGCGGGCCGCAAAGTGGGTTCTGGCGGGCTGCATGCGGCCCGCGATCCGTATGTTGCGCAGGCCTGAATTTTAGAGTTTTATTTAAATTTAAATAAAGACACGTTTTTTGAAGACATATATAGTATTATTATCGAAACAGTGGAGTCGCTAGGAGGGTGCAGGGGGTGCGGACCGCACCGAGTGACACCCTCTCAGGGGTGACATCAATTGAAAAATTATATATTTACAGAGAAAAAATCTGCTCGGTCTAATCGAATTTCCTAAGAGGATATCTGATCCCATGTCAATGCTCCACACACGTAACCCATCCACATGTGTGCTTTATTGAAAGTTCACGGTTGATGCCTCGTAATTGGGATGACCTTATAACTAGGTCAGACAAACACCGTTTTGACCGTAAGAGAAGTGTTCGGTAACCTTCGTAGGTGACAGGAAGCTAGATTTATCTAAATTCTAAGAAATACAGCTTTCCATTGATACGATGTGATCGAGTGATTCTCAGTACATGAATCGAATCGGTAAAAATTAAACACTTTCCAAAATTTACACTTTACCCATTTTTTAGAGCGCGATATATTGGTGCGGAGAATATGAACCCAGAATTGTGTTATGGAAGTCAGGCTGTATTTGTTTTGAGAAAAGAGTGGCTGATTTGTTAACCAGTTCCTGGAAGGAGTCTACTATCAGCTAGTGAAGAAGAGTTATTGATGTCCGTTCCAAAAATTAATTAACAAAATAATATTTTACAAAATTTTCTCATTTCTTTTATAAAATGTAAGAAATGGTTTTTGAATCAAAATATTTTAAAACTAAGAAATACTCAAAAATAAATATTTTCGCCGATTCGCCACTAGCACCGTCCCTTAACATTTGAGCACTATTGTCATACAGCACAAGGTCTTTTACATGCTGTTTGTGATTTCACGTTTATCTGCTACATTTCCATTGCTCATCTACTAAGGAAGTTGATCTTATACAGCATTATCTGCAGACCAGAGGCTCTACTCTTGATAAAGTGGTGACCAACCTAGAGGCCTCAAGATTGTTTCTCCACGAGGAGCACTGTAATTTGGTGAAACATGCTATTGAAAGGGAACTTCTAAAATAAGACAAATATGGAATTTTTGTAGAAAGAAGATAAAAGTTCAAAAGAGAATGACAGGAGACAGTTAATAGATGCTGGACTCTCTCTGTCTGAAGAAAACAGTATGGAAATGCTGGAATTTATTGATAGCATTCATTCTGAACCCCAAATCAGATCATCCACGATTAAGAAAGTAGCAGATATGTTTTGGGCTGTTCAACCCAAGAGTCTACTATCAGCTAGTGAAGAGAAGTTATTGGTGTCCGTTTAAAATGTAACCTCTTTCTATGTTGAATTATCAGAGGATGAACATTTAAAAGAAATATTAGGGCTTAGAATTAGAAGACACCTAAAGGCAGCTGATATTGAATTTCACAAAGTCATGGACCGGTCAGTATTTGAGGTTTTTAAATTCATAGTTGAATGAGACTTCCTAGAATCTCTTCCAATACTCTCGCTAGGCCTTCAATCGTTTCTTACGATATGTGTGTATGTGGCTTAATGTGAGCGGAGCTTTTCAAAACTAAGCCTTATCAAGAAATATTTATGATCCACCATGGGACAGTCTAGGAATTCTGATGTGGCTCTGCTTTCAAATGGAAGTGATACAGTGAAGGATATTGATTTTGATCAATTGATTGACAGGTTTGCAGCTTTGAAAACAAGGAAAGGAAAATTTTAAATAAAGTAAATTTAATGTAAAAGTAACTATTACTTAACATATTAAATACATTAACCTCATGACTTTCAATGTATGTGTTTTTGTTCTTTTCATTGTTGTACAATGGACTTATTTTAACAAGAAGAAGAAATCCATCATGGAAGGTTGTTTTTTTTTTTTCTTTGTTTTTTTTCTTTGGGGGGGGGGGGGGGGTGGGGACACCATAAATTTACCGCACCGGGTGACACCAACCCTAGCTACGCCACTGGTTATAATGGGGTTTTATTTATTAATAATCACGATTATCTCATTTTTTATAAAAAGAATGTAAGAATGTATGCGGGAACGAATTTCAAAATATCTAACTATTTCATTTTCGGTTTCGGTCGAAAGTCATAACTTTCGGCCTTTTTTCGGTTTCGACCGAAAGTCATTTTTAAACTTTCGGCCTATTTTTGGTTTCGGCCGAAAGTCATTTTAAACTTTCGGCCTATTTTTGGCTTCGGCCGAAATCAGAAAATCACTTTCGGTCGGTCTCTAGACCCTATTCTTTTAAAATGTTTTAAATTGTGATTTATTCGTTTTTAATTTTTNCTGAAGAGATGAAATAAACCCTGATTGCAAGGCAGTTGTCTTGTGAGAACTCATTTTTGCCATTTTTAAATAATCTGCATCAAAACAATTTTGTCACATAACACTTGCAGCAATAAAAACGTATTGACGTACACTTGTGTCCAATGTTGTATTTTTATATTATTTTTTGTTTGTTTGGGTTTTTTTAGTCTGGGTGGCCGAGTGGTCTAAACTGAGCAAATATCAAGTTGATGGTCTGGAGCTCAATCCCCACCAAAGGCCAGTCAAGCATAAACGTCACCAGCACCCCGGGTGGATGCGAGTCGCTAACCTTGGATGGCAACCCCTCTAAGAGAAGGAAACTCTGAATTCAATCCCGGAGATGGAGTCCTATAGGCGGATAACTTTGGTACAGTTAAACATTCCGACAACTCGTGCGACGCCACTGGTGTCAGACTGCATCATCCACATGATGTTCCCTAGGGTTTATCCAGCGGCGTGGAGAGATGCGATTTGCTGTTGGGAACCAGCTTATAATTCTAGAAGAATAATCCCATTCCTTGCGGAATTCGTCCTGCGAGGTCCACACCATCGTCATATGACATTCATCCTATTTCATGGGTGATGTGATTTTTTAATATACGCCTTCTATTTAGTCGTATGTAGCCTAAGTGTAATTTTGGGGGGATTCAGATAGACTAGGTTGCTGCAATCAAGTACTGGCATTTGAGCAACGGTTTGGGAAACGATGCGGCTATCTTAACGGCTCCATCTGGTGACGGTGAGGTAGTGGTAGAGTGTGGTTTCGTCTTTGGCAAAGAGTGTGGCGATCGTTCATGGACTAAAGTCTAGATCCTGCGGGATCCTGGCGCCGCGGGGGGGGGTGACCCGCGGGCGTCCCGGGGGTCGTTGCCTCCTGTTCCTGGCCGGTGGGGTGGGTCCCTTGTCGTGTCTCGGTGTTCCATGCCCCATTGCGCTGGCCTGGTCCTGCGCTCAGGACACTGGTGCCGGTTGCTAAAGGAGAGAGTCGAAGTCCCACGGAAGGTGAAAGGCTGGTTTTTGTGGCGCATGCCCCGCTGTTTCCGACAGTTTTGACTGCGGCAGCTTCTAACTTGGATATACGTCTGGCCGGAGCATTGGTTGCGCCGTGGCGGCGGGAAGATTTTGCTCGAAAATAGTCTTCTGCCCGGCCTGGTCGGTTTCACAACCGGGCCAATTTGTACAAGTGGCCCCCGGACACGTGGGGGGTTTCACGAGCCAGGCCAATCCGCGTCCGTTGCTTATCAACGGGGGGGTCCCTGATCCTGGTTTTGACTTTAACGGTTACGAATACGTCGGACCGGGGTCTTGGACGCTGTTCTTCGTGAGCGGCCGTGCAAGAGCGTCCTGCTCAGTCACGCTTCAGCAGATATTAATGTCGGTGCCAGGGCAGCCTTGAAACTCTCGATTGATGTCGAGGATATTAAAGAAAATATACTTGTATACTTTTTAGTACATTTTGGAAAAGTGTTTTTGTTTTTAATTATTGTTTAAATTGGGTTTTTTTAAATTAAAACTTCACTTAGTATAATTTGTTTAAAATTAAAACTATAATATAAAATATTAATATTAAAAAAATTAAAGGATAGGTGCGATCCCGTGGGTGCATTTTCAGTTGACTGTTCGGTAAACGTCTGTTCATTTTATACAACTAGATCTATTTCTATTTATTTAAAAGTCCGAATTTCAAACCCAGGGACGAACTATTGTAATTGTAGACTTCCATTACGTAAAAGGGAGGGCAGAGAGAAAAGAGAGAGAGAAGGTTACTCAAGTGAAAAATGTAATCGATAACAAAACAACATTGCTACAAACTTCCGGTTATAAATAATATGTTTTGGTATTCGTTTTTTTTATTATCTGGGTTAGTTTCTATGTGATCAGTTTATGTATTTTTCTAATCAGTTTCAATTATGTCTAACCCCCGTGTGGAAGCAGGAAAGTCAGGCACAACTCTGGTTCATTTTCTTTGTCAAAGATGCAATCTTCCACTGAAAATAGATTCGAGCTTTAGCGACATCTCTCGAGATTTGTTCAAAGAACTGACAGGTAACAAAAACAATTTCAATTACCAAATATTTGGCCAAATAAATTTACCCTAATTAGGAATAAGCCTACTAATACTAATATATTATTAAATTTTCATTCCTTTTTATTGCTTTAAAATAAATTTGTTTATAAAAGGCCTACCCTAGGCTTAAGGCTGAAGGGTTAGGCTAAGTTAAAGCAGTAAATAACTGGGGTACGGAATGCAGGTCCCAAATTGATCAAATTCAAATCAAATTATAAATATCAAAGCACTACAAAATCGCATGGAATGAGAAGTTAACTTTGTCAGTTTAATAATGTTTGCTAATAAATGTTCATAATCATATGTGATAAGTGGCACTCAACAAGTCAACGAGTAGTTTAATAATGTTTACAAAGTGCTTGGTCAAATATGATGATTGTCTCTCAACAAATTCAAATACCTGACAATGTCAGAAAATGTGTGCAAGACACAAGTCGTCATATTTTTTTTGGTTGTGAAAGCATGACTGGAAAGCACACAAATAGCTTGGAAACTGGCATGGTTTCATTTGCTTTGACTTTGATAAATGTATGGAATTGTTGAACATGTCACCAGTCGATGTTGGTTGGAAATCGTAGCACGGAGCAATGCTTTATAACTGATCTTGTACTTCAAGGAATTGTGTTACTGATGAATTGGCTGACTATGCTAATGTCATCAAATTAAAAACGGAGTTGTCAGAATAATGTCTTAGAACAGCGTTTCCCAAGCTTTTTTGTGCCATGCCCCACCTAAGCCTTGTTGGGTTTGCAAGACAAAATGAGGTATCAAATGAAAGATAATTGAATGGACTATATGTTTTTAAAGTTACTTCTTAAGTTTTACTAAAATAAACTACCACAAATGACATCCGAATAGCTTGAGTCTAATGATACCTGGGTGCAAATGGTGGTGCTGTGTGTCTGGGTCCATTTTGACTCAGTGCTATTCGGATGTCATTTGTGGTAGTTTACTTTAGTTAAACTGAAGAATTAAGTTTCACGTCTTTGTACTCTTTTTCCAGAACAGCTTTAAGAAATGCTGATATTGATGGTTTGATTAAATACTCTCCATTAGTATAATTTTCCCCAGATTTAGCGATGAGTAAAGATAACTAGACCCAAGAGTACGGATTGACAGTGGCAGCATGAGGAGTAAACAGAGACTTTAAGGATGTTCTTTGTCAAAATTTCTCTTTAATGTTTGAAAGTAATTTAAAGCTGAAATAATATAACAATGTTTGGTCTTCAAATGCGCCTCAAGATGGATGGTTTTCAAATTCTAGACAGCTCATTTTCAAATCGCCCCACTTGACGATGAAATTGCCTCCCTGTGGGGCCCCACTTTTGGAAACACCGTCTTAGAGCATGCCCAAGATTTATCTTTCAAGCCTAAATTGCGTTATCAAGGTGGAACTATTGGTAGCCTGTTTCCAAGCTACTTGTGGTGCTTTCCAGTGGCGCTATAGCCACAAGGAAATATCTTCGGACAGTACTTAAATTTGTTGAGTGAAAGTTATCACATTTGACCATGTTCTTGGTAAAACATTATTGAACTGCAAAAGTGACTGCTCATTTGATGCGTTTTACTAGTGTTTTGAATTTAAGACCAGTGTTCGGAGAATGCCAATTTGTGTATTATTAGTATTACTATAAATAATATGAAGGCCTGGTCGGGGTTAAAAAAAACTGTACTAACCCAAGCCAAAGTGGACCCAACTAAGGCCAACTAATACATTTTTGGCCAAAAAATATATCTTTTTTACTTCATAACTCTTTAGGCATTTAATTTTATTTCATATTCATAGCCAGTCAAGCCTGCTTTATTTAAACTGTGTCTAATGAATATGGATTTTTTTTTAAATTTATATAATCTGGCTGTAGAAAATTAATTAATTAGATATATGTGCCCTTGCCTTGCCCTAAGCCTTTCTGCCCTTTAGTCAATAAAAAATGATATGTTAATTGCTAGGGTGATGGACTATTAATTATGAAATTATCATTTTCAATAATAGGATGTAATGTAATAAGGGGCTATCCATAAATTACACCCCCCACCTCCCCATTCATCACAAAAAGTTAGATTCCCCCTTAAATATAACATCACTAACCTCTGCACACACCCTCCCCCCTTAAAACTCCCTCTGTCCACTATTGTCCATTACAAACCCTTACAAAAATCACCTCCCATAGATATTGAATTACTGCACCTGGGTCAGAACCAATTCCCTAGAACAGTGATTCTTAAACATCCCCTGTGTAAGCATCCCCTGTGGTGCAGAAGACCCAGAAAATAAATTTCATATGCTGCCAATGCTAGTTGTTCCTGCCTTTATAAATAAAATAATTTTTCTATGCATTTTGACAAGCAGCAGTAAATGTTTTTTTTTTCTGGTGAATTTTATTTCCACATTACATGTATTGGTATATTTTTTCTTGTATCTAGAACCAAAGGATATTAAATAAATTATTTCATTATTTTCATGTTTGAAATTATATTAATATTTAATTTGGGGGTGGGGGGAGAGGAAATGTTTAAAATTTGAGAAGGGATGAAGCACTGTGTAAAGTTTAAGTATACCTGGGATAAAACATTAACTAAATCCCCCCCCCCCCTCCTCAGTCCAACATGTTTCATTCCATCTCATTCCTGTGGTAGCCCAAAGTCTATGATTCTCGTTTCCACATTTTGATACACATTTTCACAATTATCACAGTCACTAAACCCAGATTCTCCTCCTCCGTGGCGTCCTGTAACTCGATCAGATACCATGCCCCGGACCACGATTACCTATACTGATTTTCTCAGTGATCGTGTTTAAAAATAAAATAATTATAATTTTTGTATATAAAGAATAATGTAGTTAAAATGTCTGTAATTTAGTGTTATGAAGTGTCTTTTTTTTTTCAAGAATGATCGCATTTACTGTGATGTCACATCCCTTTAACCCCCCTCCCCCTCATCACACAATGTCACAAAAATGTGACCCCCCCCCCCCAAGCTTGTGATGTCATTTATGATTTATAAATGATAAATGTCATATATTTATCTCAATGCTAATAAACATTCTTTTGGGGCAGAAGCTTTTTGTCTTTTATAACCCCAGCATATTTATTTATTTATTTATTTAGGCATTTTTATATAGCGCTTACCATAAAGCTCTAAGCGCTTTACAATTATTAAAAACATGTAAAGTAAGTAAAATAAAAATGAGACACTAGGATAGTAACTACTATACTATAGAAACAATGAAAATGGCTATAATACAGTGGCCTTCCTCCTCTTCCTTTTTTCTAGCTATGGGTCAATATTATAACTTACAACCCTTCTGTTGACTAGGGTTGCACCAATTAATGGGCAGGTAGCAGGTCATGTAGAATGGTCAAATAATCCTAATTGGTTGATCCATTTGACAATCAATGCAAAAATTCTGATGTCCATCACTCAAATAATAACTATCCCTTTGATTCTTTTTTTTCTCAGAACCTTTGGTTTGTGTGTCAGATATGGATGACAGCATCCAGTTTATAAGACCAGAGGTAAGCTCCAAGATATTACATCTCTAAAGAGGTCATACTCTCAATAAATGGTCAGTTCACTCACTGAAACTGAATGATCCATCTATGCACTCATTGAATGGTCCATCCATTATTTAATAGCTCATCCCCTCCCAGACATATTGTTCATCCTCTTACTGAACAGACCTTCCCCTCATTGAACAGTCCTTCCCTCATTGAACAGTCCTTTCCCCTCACTAAACAGTTTATCTCCTGTGATTAGTACATTAAGAGTCATATACCGGGTATTTAAAAATATATAGATATTTTAATTGATGACCTATTCCAAAAACCCAATGAATTCTACACATCTTTTATAATTGTCACCAGGAGCTTGTAATGGAGGAAGATGAAGATTATACAGAAACATTTGTGTCAAGAGGGGGGTAAGCATCACACTGTGTGTATTTTGAAACGGCACATAAACTGTTCTAGAGAAGATGTATTCAAAATGATAAATTTAAATCAAAATTTCCCACCATGAACACAATTTTATGGTTTAATTAAAAAATAAAATTACTCCAAGTTACTCTTTAAATTTACTGGTGACTTCGAGCCAATTAACTCTTTAAGTTAGTATAATTTTTCTATAGTTTTGAGGAATCAAATGACTTCACCCTGGTTGGGAATTTGGGACCAGGAAGCATGGATACCCTTAGTATAAGATCCAGGGTGAGTTTATGTTCAATTTACGCCGATAATAGTCATATAAAACTGTTGTTTTTTTTTAATATGATAACGATATGTGCCAGATTTGTATTTCTTAACTGCCTTAATTATATATTTTGAAGCAAATTTAATTATACTAAAACAGGATTTTTTTAGGACATTTTTTCATGTAATTTTGTCTTGATTTATGATACTGTTAAGCATGCTAACTTCTTTCATTTTTTATTTGTTTGGTCAGGTAACAGGTCACTTGTTTGATCTCATGTCAGGCTGTTCAGATATTGATCATCCTTTGTGTGAGGTATTTTAATTATAAAAGCATTGTCTTCTAACTTTGAGGTTCTTAACTTTCTTATCAAGTCTTCCATACATTCTGATCAGTAATCTGTGTGCGTTTTAATTTTTTTAAAGCTTGCTTTAGTAGTAACTGATGTCATAAGGAATATTCCATGTTTTCTCCTGTTTTATTTTTTAGTTCAAGAAGCTCTGGAATTTTTTTATTAAGTTACAATATAAAATTTAAATAATGAAAAGTTATGTTTCTTTAAATATATATATTTTAACTAATTTTGTCTCAGGAATGTACTGACCATTTGCTTGACAGTCTTGACCATCAGTTGAAAATTGTGGAGGATGAAAACAAAGAATACAAGTGAGTTAAAACTTATTAAGTTATATGTATGATTAGTTAAGGAATTTCATTTGACGAAAATAACCTTTTCAAATATGTTGACATTTCCTGTGACTGAATATTACTTTATCAAATATGTTGATAGCTGGGTAAATCTTAGCCAGTCCTATTTAATCGTTTGCATTTACACCTTAAACACGGATTACTTCCTAAAAGCCAATGTGGATTCCATTCAAATGGGGCACTGCTGACATCATATTAGCAGCAAGCCAACTCCAGGAAAAATGTCAAGAGCAACACAGTGACCTGTTCATCACCTTTGTTGATCTGACTAAAGCATTTGACTCAGTCAGTAGAGATGGCCTGTGGAAGATAATGGAGAAGTTTGGCTGCCTAAGTAGATTTATTACAATAGTACATCAACTTCATGATAATTAGCAGTCATAATACCGGTCCCTTTTACCAAACAGGTATTTTCAATATTGAAGTTTTATGAATACCGGAATCCCGATATTTTTTAGATTTTCAATATTTAGAAAATTTTTAGTACACATTAGAGGTGAGATTAAACTGTCTTTCAAATTCATCTTAATACCGGTATATGTAAAGATAGATTTTTAAATCTATAAGTGCTTTCTTAATAGGATTTTTTAGTCTTACTTTTCTTCCTAACATGGCCGCTAAATTCAAATTAAGCTCACGACCAATTTCTTCTTTTACATATTTCTGAGAATCGTATTTTTGATAGGCAACTTTCTGAAAATTTTTGCAATTTTTCGCACTTTCCGGATTAAATCTTTGAAAACAAATTCATTATTTGTTGAAACACTCTAGAGGAAAGCGCTCAGTTGGTGGGCAGAAAAAGCACTTCAAGGACTGTATAAAAGCTTCACTTAAATCCATGGACATTGACCTTGATATGTGGGACACACTTGCCATGGATAGTGCAAGCTGGCATGGCAGACTGTCAGAGCAAAATCCTCAGAATATATTGTACTGATCATGCCCAAAGAATGCGCATGACAAGAAAAAGCAAAATCAACTCAAATCCAACTAGGATCCAATACGTGTGGGAAAGCTTTCCAGGCACAGGTTAGGCCGGCCACTTGCACTCACCATGTTTTATAGTATTTCCACTGACTGAATACTTCCTGTTCAGATATGTGACATTTCCACTGACTGATTATTCTCTGTTAAAATCTATTGACAGACTCACATGTAAATGCATGATAACAAAACTTTATTTGTCAATATCAGTAAAGCAACTGTCAAATACATCACCATTTATTTTTTAAGCACTTACATTTAATTTCTAATTTAGGGATTTTTTGGACAAACTGGGTCCTTCAGTGGATGTGGATATCGAGGCTGAGCTTGAAGAGGAACTAAATCAGGTCAACAGAATTTTTTTAAAGAAATAAACAAAAGATTTTTTTCCTATATTTTTTAAATATCACAACTTATTTCTTTAGGCATATTTGGCAGTGTTGTTTTTATTTGTGTGTAATGCATCGCTCTACTTAACCCCAAAAAAATAAAAAAAATAATATAAAACTAAGTTACATATTCTTATCAGTTTTTTTTAATGTTGATTTCTGTGAACAAATTATGTCTTATGAATCTCATTTTACCACCTCATATACAAATTGCATTGCATGTTATTCAATTTACAATCTATTTTTAAAAATTGAATATTCATACATATGCATCTTATGTGTTGTATTCCTCAGCTGTTGCAAGAAGAAAAGCGCCTGATGCAGGAGCTAGAGCAAGCTGAAATAGAAAGGGAAAGGGTCTCTGAGGCCATGGCAATTGAGAAGGGCAAAGCAAAAAATCTAGATGAAGATGAGGAGATGTAGGCTATATTTTGTAATAGTTACTTTCCATTCGAATGAATATATTTTAAGGTAGATTTATTCCTCTTGAACACCTGCTGAGAACCTATCTTGAGATAAAAAAATTAAAACCTATTACAGCATGGTTTCCCAGCCTGGTGGGTGAGCACCTCCAGGGGGTTGGAAAATGGCATTTCAAGGAGTGCGAGGAACACTAATTATAAGAGCAGTTGACCTAAGTTATAATGTAAATGTTTTATATACTAATTTTCTTCTATTACAATATAACTTTTTTTGTAATAAATTACAAGTTTCTTTTCAAAGATATACAGTTCTCTTTGTAATAAATCCAATAAACAAAATTTGAAGATCTTTTTTCTTTCTTTTTTATATTTTTTTTTTCCAATTTTAAATTGCATTGATATCTTTAAAGTGGATGCAAGACTTAAAATAGAGACCCTAGAAAAGTTTGGGAAACACTGTTTTGAAGCAATAAATTCAAAACTTTTCTTAAATTTTTGTAACATGAAAGTTACCTTATTTCATACCTTGTTTCTTACAGTTATTGGCATGAGTACAATGATCAGTGCAGGATTGCCATTGAATTGGACGATGAACAAAAAAGGTGAGTTTTTGTCCCTGATTACAATGTTACCTCTGTATTCAACATTCATGTTGTGGGCTTCCCATCTCACATAAAATTAAATAGATTTATACAACCAACCATTTATAAGTAATGGGATACAGGATTTATTTTATTTCAACAAGTTATGAACTCCTTTTTATTGTTTAACAAGTTAAAAAAACAAAACAAAAATAAAAATGATGGCTGTCAAATGCACAGTTACATCTTTCTCATTCAACCAGTGTTGACAATCAGCTGAGGTATGCCCAAGCACAGCTGGACAGACTCAAGAAGACCAATGTATTTAATGCAACATTCCATATATGGTAAGAAAATGAATGACATCATTCTATCCAAGAAAGGCATGGGGGGAAGGAGGTGGGATGAAGGTTATCATCTTCTCAAGAGCACCCTTATTTTTGGTGGGTTTCGTGATTTTGGCCGTAAGTAGAGGATTTAAGAATTTTAAAAATAATTTTGTATCTTTATTTTTTATATTTTTTTAATGCATTTATTTAGAATAGTTTTAACAAATGTGAAAAAGCTAAAACTTTATTATTAATAATATTTACAAAAATTCATCTTGTTTTAAGGCATGATGGAGAGTTTGGGACAATCAATGATTTCCGATTAGGAAGACTTCCAAATACCACAGTAAGTTTTTTTTTAATGAAATTGTTGAAATTTCCAAAATCTTTTTTATTTGTTGCTATTGAAAATTAACATTTTACAAATAGTTTGTATTTTTCTTGCATTTTATTTTTAAAATAAAGAACTCAAATAACTTAGTTTATTAAAATACATTAAAAAGGTTTTTTTTTACTCAAATGTTTATCTTTAATTGTCTCTTTAAATATAAGAAATGTATATCCTTAAACTTAAACAAGCATTAAAATTGACTAACATGAAACAAATTAAAATAATTTCTCTTATGAAACATTTATGTTAAATAAAGAATTTTTAAAGTTTCAAAAGCATAAATATGCCTCCAGCTGCTGGCGGAGTGTTGGTTGCTGATGTAACAATTTATCTGTTGCTTCTTCATGTAACATTTGATCTATCTATTGCTTCATCGTGTAACATTTGTTCTATTTATTGCTTTCTCATGTAACATTTGCTCCATCTCTTTCCTGCAGATTGAATGGACTGAAATTAACACAGCCTGGGGACAAGTGGTTCTTTTATTAGTGTCTCTGGCCTCTAAAATTGGGCTTAAATTTAAAAAGTGAGTCTTTAAAAATGTGAGATCAAAACTAAAGATAATTTATATAAGTGAATGGGTTTTACGCTGTATTTAAAAAATGGGTATTAGTATTACACTGAATTTAATGGGTATTACATGGAATTTAACTTTGAGATAATGAGTATTACACTGAATTTAACTAGGTGAGGATGAGATTTTTTTGCATTGTGTTGATTTTGGCCATCATTTAATAGTAGAGGATCACTTATCTTATTAGGTGTTGATGTATGTGTACAAAAAATTCTTTACAATAGTATGTTAAAATCATAAAAATTGGACAAGTTTTAAAATTTGTTAACAAATTTCTTGCATTTTTATATAACTTTAATAAGCACTAGTAGTCACTAATAAGCTATCACTAATGATGGAGATGAGTGGCATCACCAGGAGTTTTCGGTGCAGACCCCAAGAGATGTAACCAAAATCACTGTCTTTAAAATTGCTAACATTACCAAGAGTATTCTGTAATTCAGAAGTGATCAAGTCTGTGGGGTCGGGCACCATGAGTAATAGCATTGGGGAGCACCACCCCTAGTGACCCCAATTCTAGTGATGCCACTGATGGAGAACTCAAAACTTAGTTCTTGACTAAAAACCTATGTAGTAGTATGTATCCATTGCTACACCCAGGTACCACCCAGTACCCTTTGGGAACCACTCGTACATTGAAGTTATGGATGAGAAGAAGGAGCTGCCGCTCTATGGATCAGGGGGCATACGATTTTTATGGGACACCAAGTAAGGATGACAAATAGTAATTATTTTGACAGTGCTTTACAGTAAACTGTCATCTTATCTTATTTGAACCTATGTCGCTTAAATAGCATCTTCATGCTTGCAAAGATAGAATAGAAGAAATATAATATCAAGTTACTGGGCACTGCTGGTGTCTTCTACTTCTTTACAAATGGGTCCCTAACATACTTACATGTTAATTATAAGTATATTTGATGATTACTTAAATTTTTTATCTTAATGTGCATTTTGATAAGTAATGGTACTATCTGAAAAGAATAATTTTTTAATGAAAATTAAAGTTTTGGAAAAAAATATTGATTTTTTCATATTTTACAAACTTGAGGAAAAGTATCCAGTTATTTAATTTAAGAATGAAATGGCATTGAATAAGTCGTAGTTATGCTAAGCATTTTGAACAAATTAAAAATTGAAAAATAAATTCATTCCTATTCTGCCTGAACTGAAGGTTTGGTCAGTTTCATCTTATTACAGACATTGAGTGGTGAAAACTTGTTTCTTCCCACAGGTTTGATTCTGCCATGGTAGCCTTCCTGGAATGTCTTCAACAGGTTGGTACCCGCCATACACATCCAAGGCTCATAGTTCATAGATATCCCACTTGATTTTACAATCTTAATCGTATCGTTGTTTTGCATGTTAAATTAATTTTCTATATTTCAATGTCATCTATACTAGTGTTGCTTTAATTATTAACAGTTTCGTGATGAGGTAGAGAAGGAGGACTCTACATTCAACCTACCTTATAAGATGAGCAAAGGAAAAATATATGAAGGAGAGAAGGCTCAATACTCTATAAAGTAAGCTTCTGTAACATATTATCAGTGGACGTAAATAGATTTATATCCAAGAAAGCTATTCATAAACTGAAGATTTATTTTCTTGAACTTTGAACAGAGAAAACAATACAACTTCCTTGTGATTTTTATGCTACTGTTTGGTTAAATATTAAACATGATAATTTTCGGTTTAAAATTAGTGCATTTTTCTACTATTGACAAATATGTTTCCTATTCTAGAATGCAATTTAACTCCGAGGAGCAATGGACAAAAGCCTTAAAATACATGCTGACCAATATGAAATGGGCTCTGGCTTGGTTGTCTGCCAGAAAAAGCCTTGGAGATTGATGGCTATTCAGAATAGGGTTGATATATTTAGTTCATATTTGTGTATTTTATTTATGACCTGGAATCCTTTCATGTAAAATTGTAATCAAGCTCTCATCTTTACAAGCTGTAACTTTGTTAATTTAAAAAACACCTTGTACTTGTTTGGTATGGTAAAGGCAGCCAGTTGAAACACTATTAATGGTGAAATCATCCAGTAAGTTAGTAAGGGATTTCAGGCATTATCATTAATTAATTCACATGAATTAGTGAAACCTTTCAAAGTTGTAAACATATTTTTTATTTTATATATTTGGATTAGTTGTGGAATATTTTTCATCTCAGGCTAATTCTGTTTAGTGAAAGTATACATAATAATAATACAACTAGTTCTATAAAAAAATATTTTTTAAGTGATGCATTCTCTATGATGTATCAGTATCCATGCTAAATGGTGAGGGGAGAGAAATACAATTTCTAATATTGTAGGAGGGAAGACACACTGAGTTATATGCAAGTGAAAAATAATTTTGGTGGCTGCTTCTTTATTTCAAATTTAGACTGTACAGTTGAGTGAGAGCTAAGTTTAAAAAACAATGAAAGGCAGCACATGGAGTCATAATGGACTTGTGCTCAAATTCAAATATAGGACATAATTACCATGCAGCTTATTATGCATCATTCATTATTATGATTATTATTTTATTCTCTACACCTTTATGTAGAGTTAAGCGATAAAACCTCTGATTATACATTTTCAATCTCCTTATTAAACCCTGCTTCTAATTTGTGTCATTTAGTTCTTTTTTTTAAAGTTATTAACACAATTTCCAAATGTTAATGTTACACATATATAAATTATCATAGGTTGATAAATAATGGTTTGGTAATTTTAGACTTTTCTGCAATGCCACTCTTATATTATTTGTGTAAGCTTATAACCTCATAAATACCAGTATATGCATCAGCTGCAATTTGGACAGTTCTCATGTGTTTTCAGTTATAGTTATATTCTAATTCTTATGATTGATAAGCCAAAATTTTTGTTTTCAGACACATGCAATAATGAACCAAATTAACAAATGCATTCTTATTTCTGTACATATGATTTATGTGTATGTATACACACCTGAATTTATTTTTCCATCACTTCTTAAGGAATAGATGATGTAGTGTTTTTTATCCAATTAACAGAAGAGTTTTGTTAAATATGAACAAAAATATGGACATTACTTACAAACTATACTTGTAGATGGAGAAAGATTAATAAAGATGGGACATTTTTCAAAGAGATCATAATTATCTTTCAACCAGGGGTGCCACTCACTGAAAGTTGTAAACCTTGAAATCCCTTTCTAAAAATTTCTTGAAACCTGTAACTTCATTTACAAATTTTTCAAACCCTGAAACATAACAAAACTCATAAAATTCATACACAGTAGAAATAATTTAAAAAAAAAAAAAAAAAAAAAAAAAAAGAAGATAAAAATTTTTAAAAACCCAAAAAAAAAAAAAAATAAAAAAAATAAAAAACAATAAAAAAAATTTAAAAAAAAAAAAAAAAAAAAAAAAGAGAGAGGTTGCTGTATTTGTTCTATTTATAGCCAACCCTCTCTAGGTGATAAGGGCTTTCGCCTGTTCTTACACATAAGTTGTTGTTTTTTTATTAAACTCAGAATCCATATTTAAATTTAAATAAACTGAACTGGTTAGAGCTGAAAAATATTTAGCCTCACCAATCTGGAATTCCCGGATAATTCGGAAAAGTGGCACCCCTGCTTTCAACTACCAGTATGTTTAAATAAAATTGTTTACATTGTTATTATGTCAATATTTTTCCCATTTATTGTCTTTCAACAAACTTTATTTGAATAAAATGTTACTTCCATTTATCATAGGCTGACAATTAATAGAGTGAATCTTATGTTTATTTCTTGGATAAAGTGTGAGAAATGTTATAAAGAGTCAATGATAAGCAATGGAAAAGAAGCAGTCCCTAAACTATAGAGATTACCTGGTGTCATAAAGGCCCATTTTCTAGTGGTTTGTCTAGTGATTATGCCAAGCATAAATAGAGAAACAAAATTACCTTTTATAACAGAGCCTCCATTAATAGTATAATACAGTGGTACCTAACCCGTACTCAGAGCTCCAATAGCTCCACAAATATTTCTCAGGAGCCCCATAGCCACTTCAGGAAATAAAATGACACTATCAATTTGTAAGATTTAAGACAGGCTTAAGGGGCTACCCCAAATAAAATTGATTCTTTAAAAAAGACACTTTAAAAAATTAACAAAAATCATGAAATTAATAGTTTTTATTACAGCTTATATTACATCAATAAAACTTATAATATCAACCATGACTGATTAAAATCATGTTCAGTCAGGCAATCATTCACACAGTTCAGCAGAAAAAACATGAAGTTTGATTAAAATTATTAAATTAACACTGACACTGGTTTTTGTCTTCTCTATTTTCAATCTCAATCGCTCCTCTATAAACTGATCTAGATGGAATGACAAAGGAACAATCAAGAATTAAAATTCTAAAATAATATAAATTTTAAACAAAATACATAAGCCATCACTACTGTATAATCCAAACATATAAGCAATCACTACTGTATAATCCAAACATTCACAGCTTATAACATCCACTTGTTTCACAGCAGCATAGCAACAAAGATTTACACACTTCCTTTATTGTAATGTTTAGGTCTTATATCCCTGCCAGTTCATGGTCCAGTTTTGAGTCCTGCCAGTGAAAATAATTGACTGATTAGTTAGCCGCGGGTGTATTTACCCCAGATGTGAAGCATGAAAACTGATGCAATGAAGATGAGACTCATAACCAAAACGGGAACTGGGCCACTGAAACAAAAAAAGTTTTAAAAATTATAAATTTTGTCACATCATGAGGATTACTTTTGAAATGAATTTTCTGCCTTTCATATTATCAGGAACAATAAGACTAATAAAGATTTTTTTTAACTTATGAAATAGAAAAAGTTGGTTATGATTTTTTATATTTTATGTTACTAAATCTGTAATCCATATTAAATATACCAACTAAACATCAGTTATTGCAACAATAGTACTGATGTAAACCAAATTAGAACTTAATTAAATCGGTGCTTCATAATTTTTAAACTTGTAATATAAATGGTACTACCAGTACTACCATCCCTTTTTTTTTTAAATAGATGTGTAGATCTATACATTTAAATTTATAATGACACTGAAAATAAATGGTGATTTACACTAATTTACAGTACTTTTTTAATGCCCAAATACTTAATTAAGCCAAGCCAACAGACTTAATTTTAAAAAAGCTATAAATAAATATTTATTTTCATACACTTTGATTCCTGGAGAGTCCTCTGTGTAGAATCTCCACATGCCAGCACTGCTCCCAGCTGCTTTTCTTGCACCACCACTACTCGAGGCTGCTGGCTTTCTGAAGAGTAAAAGATGTGTTAGCTAAAAATTGTGATATACGTTTAAAATATTTATGTGATTTCATCAACATATAATATATAAGGTCAATATTCAATCATTTGGGCTTACAAGTGGGTTTGAAATTTTACAAGTAATTCACCACTGTGTATTATTAACAGTATATTTTGTCCCATCAGTAAGCACCTTTGGTGCTTTCACTTTGGTGAAAATTTCAAAACATTTTTTAACATATAAAAAACATACAGCTGTATAAGATTCTAGAGAAATTATTACAAAAACACCAAGATCAACTTTTTTACTTTGGAGTTTTCCTCCACACTTCGTGACCTGTATATTGCTTCTGTTTTTAAATCTATAACTTTTTTAAAAATGAGATAAAAATATAATATTTACATGAAATATGAGCTTTAATAAATGAGTCCCAAAGTTTAATTTTAGTTATTGTTAATAGTCCCTATTTTTTTTAAATTTCTATAATTTTCCTTATATAAAATATGCTGACTTGAACTTATTTGTTTAAATAAATATTTTTTAATTTCCCCAAAATATATAATATTCTTTAGATATTACTTTTAAATTTTCAGTAGAACTATTTAACATATATTTATATATATATAATTTATAAATATATATTATTATATTATAAAGAATTTTTAAAGTTTCAAAAGCATAAATATGCCTCCAGCTGCTGGCTGAGTGTTGGTTGGTGATGTAACAATTTATCTGTATAATTTATAATTATAGATAGTCCAATTTGAAAAAAATTATACAAATAACATATGGTCCCATATGATATTAAAAAAAAATAGTATTTCATTTATTTTAAGTTAGTTTTCTTGTTTTACAAAACCACATGTATTGTTAGAATCAACATTTATTTGACTTAAGAATCAGTTATTATGATTGTTCTTTAATAATGTTTTAATTAATTCTTGGATTATTGTTCCAGAAAGTGCGTCTAATGGGAAGAGTTAAGAAAAAATGTAGGTCTCACAAAAATAGAATTTAAACAATAAAACATGCTTTTTGGTGAAAATTTTCGTTTGAAATGAATGAACCAAAAGTCGGATATTAAGAAAGCAGAGTTTATTAATCTTATAAATTGTGGATTGGACTTTCTTCAAGAAACAAAACAATAGGGTATGTGAACTAACTGGCTTGCAGTAGCGAAAGAGTTAATAATAACTCTAGACACTTTCAATTACAATACTAAATTTTAAATGAAATTATTCTTTCAAAAACTAAATGCAAACAATACACTCTTGAAACTTTCAATGTATGATTGCGTTTGCGGTGAAAATCGATTTTAAAATGGAATGAAAACGCAACTTTAAATTTGCCTTGCGCATGTGTGATGATCATGCATCGTACCCGCCTTGAGCTGGCCCTGCGAGAAAAATATAATTTTCCATAACTACGGTGAATAATATTTTTTTTTAAAATAACACAACTGCGACTGGTGCATAATATTGTATTGTCTTTTCAGAATGCCTGAACTTCACATCTACCAAAGTTAATTGACAGAACATGAACTCAAGTAACGCACATTTAAGAATCCCAATATCTGCAACACACACTCCCCCATGATACTTCACTGCACACTTTTTATTTCACGCCCTTGAACTTTATTAAACATTCTTATGTCCCGACCACTTCTAAACCGAATATTTTTTACACAATACTTACATTGAGACGATTTCATTTTCTGAAAAGAACATATTACGCACCAAACACAGTTGAGTTATTAAAAATATATATTTATCATTTAGCGTAGTGATCAGGAATTATATTTTGCGCACTAGTGAACTCATTATCGAAACATACATTCTTTCAAACATATAGAATTATTTGTATTATACTCTCAATACCAAATACGCTGAAGAGGAAGCAGCCGGAAATGGAAGCAGTCCAGAGTCACACTAGAAGCGTAATATATATATTATTCTATTTATAATACTTTTACTGGGCCTAGACAAGTGGTTATCAATGTTTTGTCCATGGCAACCATCCCGAAAATTCAAACCACTGACATTTCATAAGGCAAAAATAATTATTATGTTATGAACCATTTTTTATTTATCGCAAAAAAAATTTTGTTAGTTATATTTCCCATTTATATACTGGTTATCCAATTTAATGAATTAAAGATCACTATCGATGCATGGTCGCATCGATGACAAATTACATAGCCTAATAAAGTTACCATTTTGATTTTTGTGTTTGACGCCTGGTTATGAACTAAATACATGAATTTTGGAATGTGACAAATTAAATAAAGAAAACTTTTCAAATAAAATTATTGATCAGTAAATTGTTCCTATTTTTAACTTCAATTTTCAAAGCTTTAACTAGGACTTTGACAGAAATGTTAATTATTGTCCTATTGCCATAAATGATATATTTTTATAGGGGCTAGCTATTAGCTTTGCAAACACACCAATTTCATCTTTCTTTCTTCTATAGAAATGAAGTTATGATTTTTTTTTGTGAACTTTTAAAGCCCCCTTACTTTTCTTTGTATGGTGTATTTAACTGTAAAAGCTTGTGACAGACTTTCCAAATTTGTGCCATTTTTTGCCCACAAATTTTTTATTTTAAAAGATAATGCTACCAAATTTTCAGGAGACACGCTTAGCACAATGAACAACAAAAAATTGTACATAACATCAAGACTTATAAATTATAATGGATAATTTTACTTGAGTGTTTGTTAAGTAAAAGTTAACAGGATAATTGAAAAAATTATTATTTATGCAGGAAAAAACAAAATAATAGCATGTTTATTGTACTTTAATTATAACAGCATGTTCATTGTACTTAAATTAAGTACATGCTTAAGTTAAATTTTAAATCAAGTATTATATTTAAAAAAGGTAAGTTCAAGTCTTGTTAAAAATAAAATTAAATGCATGAAAATATAAATAAAAACGACAAAAAAATCAACCATTCGACAATACAAGATAACAATATTGGTATGTGATTAAATTTCAAAAGGTAATGGCAGACCTGTTACCCTCAAACTCCTAAAATCGTACAATATCGTCACAAAATCGTAAAATACAGTATCTTAATATTAAATAATAATACAGTATATAAACATCTAACGCCTCGGATAGAGTTAAGCTTGCCTAAAAAATAGGGAATATATTGCCATCTGTGTCACTTTGTTTTGCTCTGCTATAGATATCAATTAATATTTAGGTTAACGTGCAGATCACATTATCCCAGTCAGATACTGGTTAAAATAAAGTTACTTGTGAATTGGGTGAAGGAAAAAAGGGTTATTGAAAATAATAGAGTAGTTTTGTGAAAATAATAGAGTAGTTTTGTGAAAATAATAGAGTAGTTTTGTGAAAATAATAGAGTAGTTTTGTGAAAATCATAGAGTTGTTTATAGATCTAAATGGCCCCTTAGATCCTATAAAATATGTCAAAATCTAATACTGCTGCGTGGACCAGTTGAGAATACATTCTCTAGTTTTCTCACAGCGATTCAGCTGTAAGAAATAATTGTTATAAAATTACGTCATACAGTACCCAAGCAAACAAACGTGAGGAGGAGCCATCTATATAGTGCGTATGCAAAAAGTCAAAATTTCTATTTTAAAAAAACCTAATCCTTTTATACCCGCACTTTTTTAACAACCCCCCTTGAGTACACACATGAGCTTTCGGCCCCCCCCCCCCCCCCCCCAAAAAAAAATCCAGTAATCTTTATATAATTATGTTAATTACTAAAATAAATGTGACAAAGGTTTTCTCTACTGGCTGTTCGACGCGCCCAGTGAATTCCAGAATATAAACTACATCGCCCTGGAGGCTTGTTGTCCTAGGGCAGGTCCATGAGAATGGGGCGAAGAGCAACAGGTGCCAAAATTGTCTTTAGATAGGGCCTTAATAGCGAATTAAACTATGAAATCCCATTTACTTCATAAAGAAAAGCTGTGCTAAAAATTGCCCTTTTACTGGTCCGCACAAGGGTGGGAGTGCACATCATATAAATATTACAAAATTATCATAATTTTTCCAAACCTGAATTTGGCATAGGCGCCGGGGCAAAAATTTTTTTAGAGCCACTGGCGTAGCCCAACAAAATATACATATACATTCAACATATGGTGGACTAAATATTACTGTAATACCTCTACTACTTTGTACTATCCGACTATATCTAGCTATTTCATTTGTGAAAATACATGGCAACATAATTATGATAATTTGTACAGCATTTGGGATATAAATAAGCTACTTTGGACTTTCATAGTTTCTGGATGAATATTGTAAAGTTTTTGAATAACATACATACTAACTAACACACAACACCCCCCCCCCCCAAGTCATTACCAAAATGTTGGGGTGTTTATTTGTATAGAATTAAATATTTGGAAAACAACCACCTCCAAAAAATCTCCTAAATCAACACTACTCTCTCCCCTTTCAGGGCAATTGTAATTTAATAATTAGAGACGGTACCCAGCCAATCTTATTTCTCGAATCATTCCCCGCTGGATGTGGAATGCAAATGTAAGTTAAAACTAACAACCGAAAATGAACTTTATTTCTTTTTTTAACGAAAAAAACAACTGGAATGTGGATATTTTCAACCCAGTCTCTTAAATTGTAGTTTTGACAGGTCTTGGCGTACAATCGTAAGAGACATCTCGAAATCGTATATTGTACGCCAAAATCATAAGAGTAAACAGGTATGTAATAAGAATGTTCTGCATATCATTTTCTACAGACTTCTTGGTTTTGTTGATGAATCCCACAATTTCTCCTTCATAAACTTTGTCTTCGCAATCTATTTCGAAACATGCCTCATTATCGACCGATTGAAGGAATACCACTGAAATCTTTAATAGAGATTAAAATTGTCTCTTATGCTTATACCTGAAATAAGCCTAGAAACAACATCTTATCATATTATTAAATCATAATCCTGAATATACACATTTTCTTATTTCTTTTTAATATTATTCATGTTTAGTGCTAATTATTATTAAAACTTATTTTAAGTTATTTCTTTTGTATTTCATAATTTATTTTTATTATTATTAGAAATCAGTACGGGTATATTAAAAATTAAATACCTTTGTATATTTAAAAATACTAATTTAAATTAGACTTAGCCTGGGCCTATAAATTGTAGCTAAATTGTAGTTGTTGGTCTAGAAATAGTGGGCCGAAGCAAACTTAAATTAAACTTTATATATATTTTAAAGTTCTGAATTCTAAAATTACAATTTAAGCTGATATATTTAAAGATTATGGAATATTAAAACTATCTTATTGATTGTTATCGGGAGCGAATTTCTTTTCCGGTAAAGAGACAATAAAATGGAAAATTTATTTTTTGGGTGAGGACAATCTGAAAGGGCTAGTATTAAAGTGAAAATGGTAAATGGACCATTTCAAAGTTATTCCCCATCCAATTAAGATGCTAAAGAGCATTGTTTAGGTTCAATGTGGTGCAATGGCTAACAAATAAGCATTTAAGTATTTTCAGCTTACCGAATGGTTAAAATGACATAGCAAAAAATGGAGGTTCAATGTGCTTCACGGTAAGAAAAATAATTTACGTCATCAATTACAAAATCAATTTATAATTAGAAAACTGGGAGGTAAAATGCATCACTCCGAGGTCAACGTAGAAGCGCTTGTAAGATGACCATAACAAAAGTTTTTGCGTCATTTTCAATATGCACAGACCGTGTTGAGTGAGTTTTGTGATACCTACTTTTAACCTTGAAAGAAAAATACATAAATTCTCAATAGAACAAGCAAGAAGTCGGCGGAAGGAATTGGCGGAAGTAGAATTTATTATTATGCTAAAAATTGACAATAAAGGCAAAACAAAGATACCCTCAGCATATTAAAACGTGGAGGTTGCCATTTTGACAACAAAATTACAATATCCAGGCCTGCCAACCTGCCAGAAAAAAATTTGTAGGGGGGGTTGTTAAAGTTTAAGGTTACATACTAATGCACAAGCCTTTTTTATTAAGTAAAGAAATATAAAGTTACCTCCATTATCTATGAAGAGTCCACAGAACAGAAGAAAACATGACTCTGTTTATATACAGATATAATATGCAGAACAAAATATCCATTTTATATACATATGTACACAGGTTATTAATAACTGAAGGTTAGCATTGCAATTGATTTTAGATAAGCAAGTCAGAAAGAATATCAACTCATGCTTGCCCTTTTTTCATTGTTCGTAATTCTTCTTTACAATCTTCTAGAGATCTCTCTTTGACCCTGGCATTAAAACAATCGGAGTTATCTAGAGAAATATTTCCTTCAATAAGAAAGGTGGTAAATAAAACTTCTGATCTGATAACTGAATCATCAAATTCCTTAGCAAAGAAATTAGACATGGATGTCGTAGATGCCCTGATTTTGTTTTTTTTAGTATTAATATCATTTTACCCACCACTTTCGATTTAATTAAGAAAGGCTTCAACAAAAAAAAAATTCACAACACAACTGAATTCTTTTTTAGCCTCATAAAAGGATGAACCACTATCGGATCAGTTGATGATTGAAGAATGATTTAGAAATCGCGGTTCGCTTCGATAAATCAATTCAGTGTCTAAATGTCTAGCGACCAGACTAATAGTGCGGGAGATATTCATCCGGTGGGCATTATCACTTTTTAACCATTTGTTCATTATATATACCAGCAATGGTTCTAGTATTTCTTTTTCAATGTAAATGTCCATACTATCTTGAATTTGTTGAAATGAAGTACCGTAGACTATGCTAGACTATTAGCGTTCACGTGACAAGGTTGAGAACTTATTCGTCTGGTCGCCAGACATGTAGACACTTCATAAAAACAAAAGAAGTGGCATCATCGAAATGCATCACACCCTGTCTTACCCCATATTTTTTTTTTTTTAGTCCCTCTCGGATTTTTATGACAGATGAAAAATGATAATATTCGGATAATCTGAATTTTGAGGGGTTGTCAGAAGGTCAGAATGAGGGGTAAAAAAATCTATAATTCCGACAAAATTGGAAGTGTTGGCAGGTCTGAATACCCGGATTTCTGGTGTTTCCAAGCAATACCAAAGTGCCAAACCTTTGTCTACTTGTGGTTCCTCCAGATGATCTTGGTGTAATGGACTTTGATGGGCCACCACGACCACTAACAGATGTTGAACTTGCTGCAGGCTGTTGACAGATATATTTAATTTTAAATCACTTAGGCTTTAACTTTATTAGGCAGCGAAAATTTAAACCAACTTATCAAGTTTAATTTTTAAATGGGATCTCGGTAAGCGTTATACGCAGTCAACTACATATAACCATCAGCTTACTGTGAATAACACTTAGCGTTATATGCAGTTGGCTGGGAATCCAACCAAATAAAGTTTACTACCGCTGGTCTAGCAAGAAAAAAAAGAATTATGCGGAATTAGTTCAATTATGGGCTGTATTATACTGAAATATATTTTTTTTTTATTTTTACAGACCTCATATGACAATACTATTATTATAATTGCTTTTATCTTATATTCTAAGAAGATGATTACGTCCTAAGGCATATTCATGGTTTAAGCCTATTTCAACAAGTTCTGTACTCTGATTAGGTTTTTAAATGGTGCTATGTTGTTGGTTTTACCGACTAGTTCAGGCAACACATTCTAATTTTACTCTTATAATTATTATAATTATATAATATACATTGTACCATTTTGTGTTGTTTACTTTATGTTTTTATATGATATTATACTATTAATATAGTTCACATCTGATAACTCAGGTAATTTAATGGTATCAAAAAAATCAATATCTATTTTACGTTGTGAAAACCAATAGTCAATAGCACTTTTCTCGAGCGACATTGATATTAATGGCTACAAACCGTCATGTGATCAATATAGACCTCACGTGACCAGACACTGCATATAATTTATAACATTGAGCCTTATACATAGCTGACTGAGCATCCCGTTTTTAAATTACAAAGTAAACATTCAAAAATTACATTCAAGATTCTATTTTCAAACCAAATACCAGTAGGGATTCAAATTTCTATATAAGAGTATCTTAATACGAAGTGTCTACACGTCCGGCGCGCCGGACATGTAGTGCGCAAGATATACGTCCGGCAGCTTGTCACGTGACCGCCGGACATGGCCGGACGACTAGTAGTTTTTATAATTCGAAACAAAGTACAGTTTAGTACATCTTGTGTGGTCTTGTGGTAGAGTGGTTGCTTGACGATAGGAAGGTTTGAGGATCTATACCGGGGAGAGGGTCTTTTTTTTTCTACCCATTTTAATTAAAAATATTTTGTATATATTTATATTAACATGTTCCTCAGCAACAGTAGTTTCATGAGAAGTTTTTACATATTTTGTAGCAATTGAAATAATTTAAAATGAAATCTTTTACTTTAACTTTTATTGGTTGCCTACGCCTACTCCACACTGGCCCCTAATTTATTTTATGTATTACTGGTACACAAACTCAAATAACAAACTAAACAAAAATGTTTACAAGCCACTTTCACTTAAGTTTTTTTTTTCTATTATTTGCATTCAAGATACTCAGTACATTACTTGGTAGAGAAATAGATTTTAAAATTAACAATAGTTTTGAATTATTCGCAGTCACGTGACAAGGCTGACCGACAAGATATCTCTCGCCACTTTGTTACGGCGGTCATGTGACTTGGTCGCNAAACAAACATAATACCAACATAGCATTTTTAAAAGAAATATAGTTACATTGACTCTTGCACTGAAGATGTCTTATTCAGGGCTACCACACCTTGGGAAATTTCCCAAGGTCTTGGGAATTCACGACCCCCCTTGGGATCTGGGGAATAATTTTGAAAACGAAGTGGTTATACGCAGTCGACTGCGTATAACCCTGAGAGTTATCCGCAGCCGGCTGCGCATAACCCCCAGGGTTATACGCAGTCGGCTGGTCACGTGAGGTCTATATTCGGCGATTACTGAATTATGACGATTACTTCCTCCCGCTTGGCGTCGCTTTGTATTACGATTACTTCGTCCCGCTTCGCGTCGCTTTGTAGCCATTACTATTAACAATGTCGATACAGAAAGATGCCATGTTTACCACCTACAATGAATTTTACGTCGCGCTAAAGAGGCATGAAGAAGAGTGTGGCGTGCTGTATGTAACGTACAGCTCAAAGAAAGTAAGAATTTTTTTTTTATATTTTAAATATAGTGATAGTGCTTAAATTATTAACCTGACATAAACACAAATTTTCAAATACATCTGACATACATTTACATAAAGATAAAGATTATATCATTGGAAAGGGCTGGCTCTAAGCTTTCCAGCGACACCAAGATAATCTTTCTATCACTTAAAGGAGAAAAGTTATGAATTTTTTAGTGATTTATTTTCCCCCAAATTAAAATATAGAGCAAAAAAATTTGTGCAATTTTAGAAAAAATAATTCATGAAAAGCAACCGCGGCCAATATTTTTTTTACATTTAAATACATAACTTTTAAACTATTGAAGCTACTGCAATCAAACTTTCAGTATAAATAGTTTGTGACAATCCAAATGTAACAGAATATTTAAATATTGCAAAAGCCAAAAAATCATGCTATAAAAAAATTTAAAAATATCACAGAAATGTACCACACAAACCCCACTGTTTTTTTTTGCCCGCGTCCTCCGGTATTGGTATGCCTAGTATAGACATAAAACAGTTGGATCTATGTAGAAATAGATGTGCTGCAGAACCCGGTTTGCCATTACAAGATAAATATATGAATCCCATAAATATAATATTGTTTCATGGTAGCTCCATGGAGTAATTATCTGTGTCTTGATATTGACATCATATTCATTTTCTTTCAGTTGAGAAAAGAGTCACAACTTGTTGATACGCTAAAGTATGAGAATGCAAAGTTCGTTTGCAAGCAGGGGCATCGCACTAAAGAAAGTACAAGCAAAGGCATCCGCCCAAACCTTAAGTAAGTCATTTTTTTCTTACACTCTCAGAATGTAATGTTTTATACATATCTGCTGTTTATATCCTGACACTCATTTTGTACAGTATCTTGTACAGTATCGTACACAGGCTAGCCAGTGGTTCCCAAAATATAAGCTGCATCACATTGTGACCATGTTGCCCTCCGAGCAGGTTGTAGTGTTTGAAAACGAAATAACAGTACGCCACTCACAAAATATATATAATTATAATGATTATAATGTCAATTTTGCTATTTATTAAGCAATGAGAATAAAATTTTTCAAATATTTTGAAAAACAAAAATATGGTCAATGGTTAACCAGGGGAACCTCCATGACCTTAGTACAGTGGAAGACATCGTCGGCCCTGCACGAACTGCCTTTCAGCCCTAATGTGATAATGAAAAAGACAATCAGTGTTGTTCAGGCTTTCTCCTTTTTTGTGTTTCAGAACATTCAAGACTGCTTGCCCTGCATTTTTAAGGTTAAATCTGGTGGAAGATGGGGCTGTGTATAAGTTAAAATTGACCACCTGCAACCTGGAGCACGAAAACCATCCTACTGGACCAGAGGTATTTATCAATTTTTTTTTAAATCCATTTATTTTGCCATAAGTCCAATTGTTTTAACATTTTACTACCGTTCTCTTTCACTACTGCATACTGCACAGTTTGTGATAAATGTGCAACATCATATACAATTGTTCAGTTACCATTATTCTGTTGTTTTTGGTTTTATTCGGTTTCAATATGAAAATTGTGGACTATATATAGTTTATATATTATTTTATTTTCCTTATATAAACTACTACTAAGCATGTGTTGGGCACAAGTATTTTTATCTAGCATAGAAACACATGCCTTAGGTCTTCGACATTGTCACGAGATTAGAAAAGTAATTATTGTCATTTTTATTGTAATACCGTTACATGATTAGCAATTTAAAAGTTAGGGAAAGTATGTCACTTTTATTTCTTGTTGTGGGTTACATGTGGCTTTTCTCCAATAATGAAGTTACATAATATGTTACCGAAAGCAATTTTTAAAGGAACAGTAATGGATTAAAAAAATTTTCTCTCCAGTTTTCAAGATTATATCCAGAAAACAGAATGCCTCAAATCACAGAGCACCTGGTGGATGTGCTAAACATCAGATCTGCATCAACCAAAGAGGTTCAAGAATTGGTTGCCAAAAAGGAGGGGAAAATGTTGATGACCCAAGACATTAAAAATTTGAGAAATAAATACTGTAATTATGCAGGAGGTGAAGAGGCAGAAAATGTCGATAAAGTGTTGCGAAAGGTGCAGGCTGAGGGCGGTGTCATTAAATATGGAACCAGTGAGAGTGGAGATTTTAAATTTCTATCATTCATAACAGCAAATATGCTTGATTCCCTCAATCAATTTCCTGAAATACTTATTATGGATGTCACGTACAAAGTGAATAAACAAAACTACCCCCTCCTCAACATCCTAGTTGTCGATAGTAATGGCCAAGGCAGACCAGTGTTTCATTCTTTTCTTGCGTCGGAAGACTCCACTATCCTATCTTCTTGTCTTTTGTTTTTTGCAAGTTCCTTTGATTCTCAGCGCACCAAAACCATATTTGTTGACAAGGACATGGCAGAAATCTGTGCCATCAAATCATCACTTCCGTTTGTTAATATTCGACTTTGTGCTTTCCACACGACGACTGCCGTTAAGAAGGCTTTACAACAGAAAAAGCTGTCCTCTTCTCAAATATCTTGTCTCATTGATCTGTTCATAGAACAGAGATCCTGCATGGACATGTCAAAATACAATGCCCTCAAAGACAAGATTTCTGAAATCTCACCTCCTGATGTTTTATCCTACTTTGTTTGTAACTGGTGGAACTGTCCCCAACTCTGGGCTGCTTCTTTCCTGGAGTCTCCAACATTTCACATAACAACGACAAATCATGTCGAAACATTCCATCAGAAAATTAAGAGAGTTCTGTCCACGAAAACTCCACTGAGCATCTCCATCACCGAACTCCTCAGTGTTACAAAATACACAATGCAATCCAGAGATGCATCTGCTTCCATACAGGCAATGTCATTGAAGTACAATACAAGGCATAATTCTGACACTATTAATACAATACAGAATGACCTCACTCCTTTTGCAGCCAAACTTGTTTCAGAACAGTTTATTCTCTCTCAACATACTCATTGTCGCTCAGTGTTCTTTAAATTGGCCTGAAACATACATTCTGTCCTCTTCAACTTCTAGCTCATCTCAATACAACTGTACCATTAACTCCTGTTCTTGCGACTTCTTTATAAAATTCTGTTTGCCTTGTCGACACATCTTTGCTCTTAGGTCTGAACTGTGTCTACCTCTCTATCACTGTGGTAATGAACGCTTTAAAAGCACTTCTGCTGTCTGTCCATCTCTTAGCTCCAATGATCACCATAACATAACGCATGAAGTATTGCCCACAAGAAAAGCCAGCAATCCTGAATCTCGTTACCACATAACAAAAGGAATCACAAAGGCTATTGAGTCTTTCTTACCTCTGTTGGGAGAACAGGCTTTCCAATCTGCTGTATCTCACCTTGAAAGAGTTTTAACTCTAATTAAAGCTGACCGACCTGTAGCGGTCATTGATCTTTCGCAAGGAGATATAACTCAGCCTCAAACTGAAAACCTTCATGCAGGTGTCACTGCATCTTCACCACCACCCTCTGTCTCTTCTGATAGTATTGATGTTGTTGTCCTGCCATCTGTATCTTCACCACCACCCTCTGTCTCTTCTGATACCATTGATGTTGGTGTCCTGCCATCTGTATCTTCACCACCACCCTCTGTCTCTTCTGATACCATTGATGTTGTTGTCCTGCCATCTGTATCTTCACCACCACCCTCTGTCTCTTCTGATACCATTGATGTTGTTGTCCTGCCATCTGTATCTTCACCACCACCCTCTGTCTCTTCTGATAGCCTTGAAGTTGTTGTCCTGCCATCACCCGCTGATTTCTTGGTTCCTTCTTCTTCATCTGCTGGCTCATCCTGTGGATTTTCCAATGTTAAACTGTCCCTTGTGAAAACAAAAGGCAGACCTAGACAGGTACAGTCATTCACTAGACGGTACAGGAAAAGAAAAGCATGTCCCAAGGATTTTCATACTAGATCAGATGAGGTGAAGAAGCAGATGCTTCTATCTGGGTGTCTGTTGGATGCTACCGTTCTCCCACCTTTCTCTGTTTTAAATCTGAAGTCAACAGAAAACATTTTTTCTGTATGTGCCAATGCCAATATTTCTTTGTGTTCTATTCAGCCCTTATTTACTGAAGATGCATGGGAAAAACTTGAGGCCAGAATAGCAGAAAAGAAGGGCAAAGATTTATTTTTTTGCAATTCGTGCTTCATTATGGATGATAGCCAGTATAAAATGATAGAGTGTGAGGGTTGCCTCGAATGGTTTCATTACCATTGTCTTGGCTTGAGGACAGCCTCAAAGCCAAAGAAATGGTATTGCGATGATTGCTGGCAGTGAATGCCTTCATTTTAAATCGTAATACCGGTTGTTTTAAAAAATGCGGGCCTGCACAAATTTTTCAGTAAAAAGTCTGTCATATTCAGGAGATACCAGTATATTGGTTGTTCTCAAGATATCTGCCAAATGATTATCACTCAAACATGAGCGTTTCTTATTAATGTGCCTTAATGAAAATGTCTGTTCACATATATAAATGTTTCAAAAATGTTTATATTACTTTCTGTGTA